GACTGAGCGGGCTGGCTTCCAGCGCTTCTTCGCCGTATTTTCGGAGATATTATTTGTAAAGTCGCACAAAGCAATCCTTTCACGTCCAGGCCTATCGATGCTGCTGAATAGCCTAGTAAACATGGAAGTGGAGGTCGACGAAAGCTTCAAAGAGCTGTGGATGATTTGCAACACAATCGAAGAGCTCCTCGAAGCAAAATATTATATTCTCGGGGAGTTAAAGGATTGTCCATTCCGGAGTTGAAAGATTTCATGTGGTAAAATTAATGACGGAACACTGGATTTTCAAAATAAGAACATACAATATACATCAGAAACTGATGCTATTTGAAATTAAAAATTGACAGCGGCAACCTCTCGTTACCGTAATTCTCTGCCCACCCTGTATAACATAACCTCGAAGTTTCCAACGTTAGTCTATGCTCGCTTGGAACGATTTAAAACTGTGAGAGCGCTTGCAGACCCCTCGCTTATATTGAAGGATGATGTTGCGCTGAACTAAACTTTGGAATGAAGTTGAGGAGAAATTGTATTTCATGTGGAAGTTTGTATGCTGCAAATGAGCCACTCGTACGAGAAAGGAATACGACATGGTTCCATGCACGACTCCTCCAAATGGTACCAAATTATTCTGAGAGATCTGTAACCCAAGGTTTTACGTGTCTACTATGCAACATCTTGTAGAACGGAGAAACGACTCAGTGATGGTACGCAAAGAACGGCGGCATCATTAGGATCAAAACAGCAAAGGGATTTAAAATATAATAATTGCACTGCCGGAGCGAAAATTTTCTGCGAACGGAGCGTCAATTTAATACCAAAACCGGGAGAATCCCAAACCTAAGGCCAAGTAAGGCTAATGGGCAGTGACACACTCGTGTTCGACTCAGTGTATTATCTGTCTTATTGACATTCATCTTTTGCTTTTAGACGTTGCCGTTTTATGCCTTTACTCTTACATTTATTTCTACCACAAGCATGTAATAAACATCACACTACATTCTTTCTGTCCTTTTTTCTTGGGAGGTTGGACTGCCTGATCGCTCTCCACTTCTGTGTTTGAGAGAAAGAATCTAATCAATTTACTGCAGAATGACAAATTTCAGGTCGGAAATCTGATGCTTCGGATGCTACTAATCCATTCCTGAATAGACCTTCATCAAGAACAAAGGCTAGTTCATCGACGTCCTCGGATCTTGGAGTTGTATCAGATAGGGCAATTAATGGTGAGAAATACTCTCAAGTAAAGATAAGCAACGGTGGAGATAGAGCTTGTTTTTAAGAGAATCGAAAAAGCCTGTCAAGCAGCACATCGGATGGAGCGCACAAATAACATTATTCTATTGAATCTCCAGTTTGAAATAAACAGAAAATAAACTGTTAAATGGATACATGTGGAAACTCCCGGAAGTTTCGAACTAAGACCCACCGAAACCATTATCTGAGGAACAATATTCGTAGGCTGTATGAAAGAGTTGGAGGTCAGCAAAAGTACAATAATTCACAACAAATGGCTGGGCCTGATTTCCATCCGAGCACAAGGGAACTACCCGGCCATTCTTGCGAAAGAAAAACTGAGATAGCAAAAGTCAGCGCATGGAAAGCGTGTGTAGGCGCAACTCAGACGGATAGCGGGACAGGGATATCGCCAGATAGTTTCCTAGTTGACAACATCTTTTCAAGAGTCGTTTGCAACCAAGAATTACTTGTCTCCATTCCTACACCATTTCGAGACATCTGTACGGGTTTTAAGTGTATTAGCGTAAGAGACATGCTGCTGCTGTCCAGTTATTATTGAACTTAATTGGTGCGAAACATCGTTGCCCATTGGAGCTGAAAGTGGAGGTGGGACATTAGTCGAGAAAAAATTCGGCGAGAAAGCGTATGGAAACGCAAGGAATGTGATCCTTTTCTGCATCGATTTCCGCTTCGAATGATCCAGTGACCAAGACGAGCTCATTTGCATTTCATTCGATCCCGATCATGCAAACAAGTATATTAGGTTGGAAAGAAAGTTGTGAAAGCTCACAGCCAAAATTTTAAATTTATTTTTTTATCCTTTGTTTTTTTCGAAGAATCCGAACATATGACACACGACTTAAGCATACTACGCAACCTTTCGGGCAATTGGCTGACACCACATTTGTAGAAATTAGGAGAACAATCTTTTGGAGTCGGATTTGCACTCCTCGTCGTCGAGCTTTCTGTTCTGCAAGTAATGAGCGAGCGAGCAGGAAAGGTGGAAGACGTGTATGGATAGGTTCGACGAATATGGCAGACGGGCAACCGCGGTCCAGCATAGCTTGAGAATCTTGTGGCATGAGACCGAGACCCGCGCCGACGCGCGTTGTCGTGAAGCAGATTGACTTGTCGCTGTATTCCGTGAAGCTTTCCTGCAATCGTTCCGAGCAGCTAGCAGCGGGTAGCCCTTGTCATCGTCAATCCTGCAGACAGAACATCACCCATGGGAAATACCGTCAAAATTCCAAAAGTTTGACAACATCACCATTCCCCCATAGTTGTCAGGTCAAGGCATTGAAACTCCACTTTCCCATATTCCAAACCGCTGCTGCTTTCGCATATGGTTAAAGCAGACGGTCCATTTGTCTTCGCCAATGGCCACATGCCGCGGCCTATCGTTGCTACTGTGCGACGAGAGCAGATGTCCACCCGGTGAAATCGTGCGGTACCCATCGACCACATTTCCAAGACTTGTCTAATTCCTGAAGAGCCTAAAGAACGTGCGGTGAGAGCACTCAAGACTACCATACAGTGTGACGACTGTCTTGAATCATCCTCGATTACAGCGCCGACGACGTCTTGATGGACAGTAGTCGTACGTTGCGTCAGAGGGATCAAAGTTTCCGCTGCGTAGCGTTCAAGCCGTAATGAAGGCGCCACTTGAGAGATCACGCCCCATTCTATCACTGGACAGATTCTGAGCACCTCTCGTGAGCTGATGTCTCCAGGCGAGGTCGCACAAATGAGCGCTCGGAGTGTCTCGCGGGAAAAGTTGATTTAGTGCGATGCAAACGCCATTATTGGAAAGCTGATTTGATCACCGTACGTAGCACGGTCCACTCCTACTATATACCACCCATGGAAGATTCCAGAGCATTCGGGAGAAATCCAGAAAGAGCGCGAATTGAGTGTTAAGGAACTTTCCTTCCAACCTAATGTTAAATATCCACACTTCGTTTCCTTAATAATGCATAATCCAAAAAAAACGAAAAGTACGGCCGCTCAACATGAAATGTCCTTTCGAAATAAAGTACGACAGAGGAGGCCGGCCGGGCCACGGTTGCGGTTAGCTGCGCGCCGGTGCATGTCTCTATATAAACTTCACTGAAAGCCCGTCGTCCGTTCGCTATGCATAAC